CAACAGTAGAACAGATAAAGCATGGTGATGTATCTCACAGACAGAGATGAAAATGAACAATTTACAAATATATACAACAACATCGATAAATCGTTGAGCAAAAGAAGCCAGATGCAGGGTGGGTGTGTGACTTAGTGGTACAGCAAATGCTTAGCATGCTTGAGGCTGTGAGTTCAATCCCCAGCACTGGAAAAAGGATGAGGCAAAGGAGGCAGAGGAGACCAGGAGGAGGAGGAGGAGAGGAAGAAGAGGAGGCCGAGACAAGATAACTGGGAGCTTGAGGCCTACCTGCTGCCTGGTCTATATAGTGAGCTCCAGGCCGGCCTAAGCGCCACAGTAAGTCCGTTTCTCAAAAGTAAATAACTGGGGCTGGGAACGGAGCTCAGTGGTAGAGCTTGCTTAGCATCATAAGGTCCTGGGTTTAATCCCCAGCACCACAAGAAAGCAAAGCAAATAAAACAAGATCTTTGTACATTCTCCCATTAAAAGAATTAAAAATGATAATAATAATTTAAAATAAAAGTTTAAAAAAATTAAAGAATCCAAAACTGGATGCATCTTCTTCTGCATGAGCCATCCTTTCTTTCTAGTGTTCTCTCCAGAAAATGACCCCATCTTTCCACTCAGCTTCCCAAATCAGAAACACAGGGGGTTACCTGTTCCTTTCTCCTTACCATTCACACCCAACCCATTCCCAAGCCCTGCGGGCCTGACTTCCTTACTATCTGTCAAATCACTTTGCTCCGCCTCACTGACTTTTCCTTAACCCAGACCCTATCCTCCTGCAACCCTGAGGTTTAAACTCAAGTCCTCATGCTTGCTAAGCAGGCCCTCTACCACTTGAGCCATGTCCCTAGTCCTTTCCTAGTGCCCTTTGTGTGTGTAACTGGAAATTGAACTCAGAGCTTCACACTTGCTAGGCAGGTGCTCTACCACTTGAACCACTCCACCAGCCATTTTTTGTGTGTATGTTGGTCATTTTCAAGATAAGAGTCTCACAAACTATTTGCCCAGGTTGTCTTTGAACTGTGATCCTCCCGATCTCTGCCTCTCGAGTAGCTAGGATTACAGGTGTTAACTACTGTGCCTGGCTTCTTGATTGGGCTTATGCAATGGCCTTGTCTCTGTGTCCCTAGTCTCCAAGCTTGACAATTGTGTGATCCATTCCCACACAACAGCCAGAGAGATTCTTTTAGAATGAAAATCCCATCTTGTCTCTCCTGGTTAAAAATCTTTCAATGGTTCACCCGTGGCCTCTAAATAAAGTGCATTGTCCTGCTCTGGACTTCCAGGGTTGAGTTCTGGACCCCTGACTCCATCCCCCTTTACCTTTAGGACCACTCCCCCCATGTTATGTTCCAAGGCACATAACTTATGTCCCATAAGCCTTTTCACAGCTTTTGCCAATGACGGGGATCTCCGATCTCCTTCTTCCCCTTCACTCCTTGCTTTTCCTGGCCATGTCCACACATCCACCAGGTCCTTGTTCAGAAACCCTGCTGCTTCTATAAAGGATTTGGCTCCTCACAAAGTTGGGCTGTCACAGCAGCATAAGCTACCCCTGTCCCACTGCTCATCACACGACAGCGAATGGTCACCCGTGTACCCACTTCCCTTGCTGGAAGTTGGGTTCCACAGAGAGGGGCATCATGTCTGTCTTGATCATCACATCCCCAGAGCCTGGCAAAGGGTCTGGCAGTGCAGAGGCTCCACAGAGAAGTCCAAAGCGACATTCAGGCTGCAGAGTGCTAGAGGGTATATCTCCAAGAAAGTTGGTGAGAATGAAGGGGTAGGCCCCCTTAAAAGTCAGGAATCCTAGAATTTAGAATGAGATAGTATCAGAGCTTGAACGGACCTCAGAGGTCGTTGAACAATCCACTTTTGGGTTTACAAAAGAGAACTCCAAAAGGAGTCACTGGCTGGGCAAAGATGGGTAAGCAGAGGAAGAGATGGGAACTAAGGAGTACTCCAAGTAGTGACGAAAGTGATTTCTTCGTGCTGATAGGGCTCGCGAGTAATAGACGGTAATCTTTCCGGGTGCCATGGCTCTGCACCTCCATTTCAGGTCTTCCCAGTGGAGCCGGACACCTGCTCCTCAATGTAACCACTAGATGGCGCCAGCTCCCCAGGCAAGGTAGAAAGCACGGGCCTGCCTGCTGCCCCCTGGTTCTATCCCCCGCTCTGAGTCCCTCTGCTGTCTGGTTCTCTGTGAGCACGTTCACTGTGGCAGTGCCCAGTACACATGATTTTTCTGGGCTCCAGAAAACAGCCTGCTTCAACAGGCACCTCTTCTCGGTGCCAGAGACAGGGTGGGCAATGGACCTTGACCTGGACACCAGTCTTCTCCCTCTTGTCAGCCTACCATAGGCCCCTGTCACAAGCTGCCCTGCTTCAGCCCTCCATCAAGGGCAGGACTGTGGGCAGCTGACACTTGCTCATCTTGCTGGACCAGGTGAGGTCCAGTGGATGGTATTGGTCCCAGTGCATCCTTCAACTACCTCTTCCACCCAGCTGTTAGTGGCTCCATTCCTGCTGGCTTGATGAGCCCCTTTGGGACCCTTGGTGACCCATCCATGAGGCTCCTCCTGCTGCTACCCTGAAGCCCTGTGCCTGCCTCATGCCTCTGACTAAGCATGCCTTGGGCTCAGTTAGGGGTACACTGAAGCAGTACCAAGGTTATTCAGCCCCTCTTCCATATTTGAGTCTCATTTAGTCAGTCAACAAACATCTACTGAAGACCTTTGAGATCTCCAAAAAGGTCACAGTGAACGGGACAGTCAGTCCCTGGCACATCATGCAATGGGGGTGACCAGATGTTAACTCCCATTACCAAACAATTGTTTAATTACTCATTTAAGCTCCTAACGTTGCAATTTCAGTCCACTTCTAGAATTTACAATTTCTAGAATGGAGCTTATAAATTACCCTAAAATAACCCACCACGACTAGCTTTCAGAATTCCAGGATTCACGTCACTCAGGAGCCACAGTCGAGGTGGGGTGAGAGAGGCTGAAACTTCTTTGAGTCAACTGCTTCTGCGGCAGTTGAATGAATGAGTGAATGAACTCTTGAAACAAGGCTTTCCCAACGCTATCCCTTCCCTTGGGGAATTGGGGGCTCCCAAGAAGGCCTGCCTGCCGCCCCCGCTCATATCCTGGGAGGGGAGCCTGCCGCCAGTGCCCTTCCTGCCCCCAACGCCGCAGGCTCCCTGGGCGCCCTCTTGGCAGCAGAACAGAGGGCATCCAGAGCGGGTGGCAACTCGCCCCGCCACTGGCTCGCAGCGGCAGGCGATAGGCGCTGGGGGGACGCGCAGATAGACAGACAGATAGCGCTCCCCTCGCCCGCCCCCGCCCCCACCTTTCCCACGCGGCAGCCTCCGGGAGCGGCCCGGGCCAGGCGGGCACCCACTCCTGCCCCTGAGCCCGCTGCCCTCCTGTTTCCACCAACTGCAGCTTGCAAAGCCCTTTTAAGTCCTGCAGACTGCCGCTGTGTCTGACTTTGGAAAGGGGCACAGAGCCCCCTACGCACTCTGCGCAGGAGACCCCCTCCCCGGGGCGGTGGGGGGTGGTGAGACGGAGGGCTCAGCGAGGGTGCAGGGTCCAGTAGTAACCACTAGGTGGCGCGCTGGCACTGCGTGTCCTCGACGTGGTATGGGCCGGCTAAGCAGGGCAAGGGGACATGGGAGAGGGTGGTCTAGGAAATGAGACTGAGAGAAGCCCCCCGCTCCCAAACAAAGGCAGTAAGCAGAATGAGGGTGGAATCGAGAAATGGGGGAGGTGTCTCGGGAACAGCTAAGGATGACCTAGGAAATGGGCCTGTGGGCAGGCAGGGGTCCCAGGGACTGGAGCCTCTTCATTAGGGCCTTCATGGTGGGAAAGCATTCGGTGGCACATCATGGCTCCCAGCTATTGGGGACTGGGAAGGTGCTGAGAGACATGTGCCCAAGTGTGTGTTCTCGCCAGAACACTGGGTGATTTCCAGCTCTCGGCTGCCACTGACTCCCACCTCCACCCCTCACACACTCCTGCATTCACAGTACATCTTAGTATACTGTGGAACACATGAAACCATCACATTACGCACCCCAAGTACCCCCGTCTAGTACACGTCACCCCCCAAAATGCCCATGCTCCCCAGTGCTGTCCCATGCTACACTGAATCTGTCCCTAGATTTACTGAAGAATACAACAGGCGAGCCAGCCTGTGTCTCATACGATCTCATGGGGCCCTGTCCCCTGCTCCCACCATTCAGCCTGAGCAGTCTCTAAAGTTGCCCACACATAGTCTTGGAGGCGACTCTTCATCTCCACATCCTCTAGCAGCCCCTAAATCCACACGGTCTTGCCCCAATAGGATCCTCCTAGGGCCAGATTACTACCTTTGTAGGCCCAGGGTGCTTTTGTCTGGTGCGCCCCTTTTCCACAATTTTTTTTTTTTTTTTTTACATTTCATGACTGCATTGCTACAGAGACAATATATTAATATAGTCAAACCTTTTTCTTCAACCGCGAAGTTCTTTTCCTTTTTTTCTGATTTTAAGAGAGATTAAAAACATTTTCATGGGCCGCCTGTCATTTGCATAATACACACACACAGACACACACACAGCACTATGGACCACCTCCTTCCACAAACACCCAATGGGCACATTCCCCTCCTTCCCATGGCACCTCAGCCCACCTCCAGCCAGGAAAACAGACAGACTGACAGATCCTGGGGGCTCAGCAGAGCCACCCCCTTCGCACGCACCCCTCCTTCAGAGGGTTTATCTGGGCTGGAGCAGTAGGAGCGGGGAACGAGAGGAGTGTGTGTGTGTGTGTGTGTGTGTGTGTGTGTGTGTCTGCCTTTTGGGTAACAACAAAGAATGGTGGGGGGGAGCCAGCGAGAGAGCTAGAGCATGTTTTGCCTCGAAGGCAAGACTTGCAGCCAATCAGCGCGCAGGAGCCTCCCTCTGCGACTCCAACATTGAGTCTATAACCGGCTGGCCGGGCGGAGCTGGCAGCATTTGACTGTGGCTTGGGACGCGAAGAGAGGCACGCAGCGACCGCCCCGACGGCTGGCGATGGTCTAAGCGCCCTTCAGCCACCCCCTCCCCCGAGACGCAGCCAGAGCCCTCCCCTCGCCCTCTGGACAACACACCCTGCCTGGTCTCCTCTGTCTCCCCGGCGCTCCTGTCCGCTTCGGCGCTCCCGCACGGAGGCCAGCCCCGGGGAGGTGCGGCGCCCGCCAGCATGAGTGGCTCCTTCGATCGCAAGCTCAGCAGCATCCTCACGGACATCTCCAGTTCGCTTAGCTGCCATGCGGGCTCCAAGGACTCGCCCACCCTGCCCGAGTCTTCTGTCACCGACCTGGGCTACTACAGCGCTCCCCAGCACGACTACTACTCGGGCCAACCCTACGGCCAGACCGTGAACCCCTACACCTACCACCACCAGTTTAATCTCAATGGGCTCGCGGGCACGGGCGCTTACTCGCCCAAGTCGGAATATACCTATGGAGCCTCCTACCGGCAATACGGAGCGTACCGGGAGCAGCCGCTGCCTGCCCAAGACCCAGGTGAGGAACCCGGGGTCACGGGGAGGGTTTCCGAGGGACGGAAAGGCAGGCAATGGAAGCTGAAATCTAGGGAAGCCTCGAGGGTAGAAATGCACAGCCAGAAGTTAAGGGAGGTGGGCTAGATGACCTCCAGAGGGACAGACGACTGTCCCTCCAGTCCCGAGACAGAGCGTTCCTGGCCTGGAGCGCGGTGTGCGGCGAGGATCGGGGCGAGCTGGGAGAGCAGGGCGCGGGCTCTGGCTTGTCAGGGAACCTCCTCGTGGAGGTGATTTTGCGGGCACTTCAGCTGGTGGTCCGCGATCGGGTCGCGGAGGGCTTGAGGGTAGGCAGTGGGACTGGAAGCTCCAGGGTCCTTCCTTTGGACATGGGCTGGGGAGACCTAGAATAGTGAAGGGCAGATAGAGAAAGATCCACGGAAGTTTCGGGAAACCGAGGGAAGCCGAGACTGAGAAGCAGAGAAGCTGAAAAATACAGAAAGGTGGGAACAACAAGAAAGAAACGTGGAAAGACAGAGCCAGAGAAAGGACGGAAGAAAGGAAGAGAGGAAAGGAAGTAAGAAAAAGGGGGAGGGAGGGAAGAAGGAAGAAAGGAAAGAAGGAAAAGAAAAGAGAAAAAAGAAAGGAAAGAAAGAGAAAAGAGAAAGAAAACGAACTCATGCAACTTTTCTGGGAATCTAAAGCTATTCTAAACTAGAAAGTTAAAAGTGGGTGGGGGGACGGGAGCGTTCGAGAGAAGCCACCGCTGGCAAGATGGGACATTAGGGGACTGCCCGCAGACGGTGGCAGGGGCCTCGAGGCTAGGAGGGGAGCCGGGAATGCGTCCTAGGCGAAGCGGCGCGGTCCGCGCCCAGGCGGTTGCTGGCGCCGGGGCCGGCGCTCCGGGGCCCGGGCGAGGAGCTGGGAGCGCCGCGTCGTGGGCGGCCGCCCGTCCGGCTCCGTCGCCGCGGCTCCCTCCTTGGGCGCGGGCGGCGGATTTCGCTGCGGGAAATCCCGGGGCGAGGCGGTGGGCCTGGGGAAGCCGCATTGCGCAGGCTCCCGGAGGGTGCAGGGGTCGCAGGCCCAGGCTGAGCCGCCCCCGCTTGCTGCATTTCCCGCAGTGTCGGTGAAGGAGGAGCCGGAAGCAGAGGTGCGCATGGTGAACGGGAAGCCGAAGAAGGTCCGAAAGCCGCGCACGATCTACTCCAGCTACCAGCTGGCCGCCCTGCAGCGCCGTTTCCAGAAGGCCCAGTACCTGGCGCTGCCTGAGCGCGCCGAGCTGGCCGCGCAGCTGGGCCTCACGCAGACACAGGTTGGTCCTGAACGGCTGAGAGCCTGGGGGGATCTGGTGAAAGGGTGCGGGGATCCGCGGGCGCTGAGCCAGGCAGGCGTTTTACGGGCCTTATAGGCTGGGGGAACCCTTGCCTGTGTGATGAGTGACTCCAAGTCTCGACTTCCACAGACAGGTTTGCCGTAGGAACGTGTACACGTGTGCATAGTTGTGAGCCTGTGCAACTGTGTATCTTTCTGTCAGACAGAAAGATGCTTTTCACCCCAGAATCTCCAGCTCCCAAGGACCCCAGCAATGCTAGTCAAGTCATAAGAGTCCATGCTGTGTTTCTACCCCCAGGCTGGGCATGTGCGTGCGTATATACGTGTGTACAGGTGTTTATATGTGCTTACATGCCAGGGTCTCCACACACATGGAGATGCTCATATGAGGAGTGTGATCCTTCAAGGGTCATTGTGCAGGAAGATGGAGGTTAGTACCTGTGGCTGGCTGGTGACTGCACACCAGTGAGTGCATGCACAAAAAATGCAAGCTTGTATTAAAACACCTCATTCCTGCTCAGCACTCAAATGCATTCTGCCAAGAGTCAAGAGCAACCAAACATAGGAGCCCATTCCCCCCACACACACACCCTCAACCTGTCCCTAAAGCCCCCAACAACCTATCACTGCTCTGGGGAGGAATGTTGGGTGCCTGGCTCTGTACAGGTGTTGACAGGCGGGCCTTCGGTTGCGGCTGGCTGCGTGGGGCCTGGTCCGCTGGGAATCTGGGTCACCCGGTGAGAAGCTGATTCATTGTTTGTACCAGTCATGGGGTGGGGAGCAGCGGGGGGGGGTGTAGTAGATACCCCAAGGGAAATTTGGGGAATCATGGCTCACCTGCTCCTGAGTCCCCAGGTCACCTTCCCCCCAGTTACCCAGCCTGAACCCAAGAGCACTTCACAGCTGAGTGTGTGAACGTGGGTGTTCATGTTGTGGGGTGCTTATCTGGGTGTATCTGTGTATGAGTGGAGCTTTACAGTGTCTGTGGTGTCTGTGTGTGTGGCTGTGAGTGGGTACGTTGCCGAGTATGGAGATGTGTATGTGGGTGTGTGTTTGGCTCTGTGTACCTGTGTGCTTGTTTCTGGGCATCTCATGAATGAAATGCCACAAACTGCCCATCACCCACTTGGGCTGCCTTTCATGGAGTGATTGCTGTATACCAGATTTATTCTAAGTTTTCTACAAGTCCTAACTTATTTGAGCCTCATAATGACCCGTTGAGATAGGTTGTAGAGTTATTATTGGCCCCATTTTGCAGAGGAGTGGAAGACAAGACCAGAGAGGTTAAGCACCTTGCCCAAGGCCCATTTAGTAAGTGGAGGAAAGGACCCTGGACCAGGCAGTTCAAAGCGCTCAGCCACAGTTCTATTCCAGATGGGAAAAAAGATGTGAGCTAGACATGTGGCTCCAGTGGTAGAAGAACGCCTGCCCAGCAAACCTGAAGCCCTAAATTCAAACCCCAGTACTGCCAAAAAAAAAAAAGAAAAGAAAAGAAAGAAAGGAGGAAAGGACAAAGAAAAAGAAAATGATGCTGGCCTGGGAGTAAGAATGCTTGGGCTTCACCTGGTTTTCCTTGTGTGACATTGGATGCTGTCCTTGCCTCCTCCAAGCTGTGCTCTGCTCCCTGTGGGGGTTTCCTTTGGCATCCTGAGAAGCTAACTAGCTACCCTGTCTTCTCCTGCCCAGGTGAAAATCTGGTTCCAGAACCGCCGCTCCAAGTTCAAGAAGCTGTACAAGAACGGGGAAGTACCCCTGGAGCACAGTCCTAACAACAGCGATTCCATGGCATGCAACTCACCACCATCACCAGCCCTCTGGGACACCTCCTCTCACTCCACTCCAGCACCTGCCCGCAGTCAGCTGCCCCCACCGCTCCCATACAGTGCCTCCCCCAGCTACCTGGACGACCCCACCAACTCCTGGTACCACGCACAGAACCTGAGTGGACCCCACTTACAGCAGCAGCCACCTCAACCAGCCACCCTGCACCACGCCTCCCCTGGGCCCCCGCCCAACCCTGGGGCTGTGTACTGAGCACCCACTTGGCTTGCACCCCCACGAAGGACCCCCAGGACCAGGCAGAAGGTGCCCTGTCCTAGCGACACTCAGGAATCATCAAGGAGCACAGGGGAAAGGCCCCTTCTTTTCTCTTCCCTTGCCCCTTCCTCCAGGGACCCAAGAAGCTTCCAGATGAAATTTGCATGGACCAAGGATATCCCAGAACCTCCCTTCCCCTGCTTAGAAGGGAGACACCTCCAGATGTTGAGGTGTGCCACCCCAGCGGGGATGGCATTGCCCCTTCTGCCCAGGAGCCTGGATCGACTTTAAAAGGCTCATGACCTACCAGCTTCTCCAGTATAATAATATCTATTTCCCAGACTGGAGACCTTGGGGATGGGGAGACTGGGAGTGTTTGCAGGTCCAGCCTGGGCTGGGGTACCAGGCACCATGGATCCTACCACCTGCTGGACCCAGTCTTCTCTAAGCCACCTGGGGCCTCCTTCCTCCTGAGTGGCCCTTCTGCCAAAAAGACAATGGACATTGTGACTAGGACTCAGGGTGGGGACTGGATCTAGCAACCGCCCTGCTCTTCTAGCCCTCCTTTAAGAGATGAGGGTTAAACCAAAGAAACCCCCAAGTGAGGTAATCTTTTAACATCTTGGGAGTCCAAGGAGGAATTAAGGGAGCCAACTCCCCCTCTGTTGGGGGCCCAGTCTCCTGTGTTTCTCCTAAGGACCCATTTCTTCTTCTGTGTACAGGACTTTGCACAAGTTTGGTTTTAAAAGCTGTTGAAAAATAGGAAAACAAAAGGGCATTGTTAACAGATAGGACCACATCTCCCCTTGGTGGGCAGCTCTGTTCTGCCCCCTCAACCACCACCTCATCTCTTCCTCTCCTTTAGTAAGTTGGCAGTTTTGGCACCAAACCCCAAATCTCCAAGGAGACATGCCAGGCAAGATGAGCCCCCAAACGCCCCCTTTCCGGCGGCCTTGGAAACAGATTGCACCCACTCAGCTGGAGAATGCGGTGAGGTGCTCGGAAGAGAGGGGACTAGAACTCAGTGCCTTAGTGGGGAGAGCTGGCTGCCTGGAGGGCTAGTGGCAGTGTCCCTCCCTGACCCAGGCATCCCCCCAAAGCTAACTTTCCCCCACCCTTGATGTGGCAAAACATCCATCGAAGAAAAAGAGAGGTAAAAAACCGTAGTTATATATATAGTATGTATTTTTTTTTTAAGAGCAACAGAAAGAAGCAGCCTCCTCCCTACTGTGGTTTCCTATTTATGTGACCCTTTTCCTCCTGGATGGATCTCCCTGTGTGTTGTGAGCTGAGAGAGAGGGATATGGGCTTCGGCTGGATTTGGGTTTTGTGGGAGGTACAGGAGCAAGGACAGACATGGTGGGTCTCCAAGTCCCACCCCAGGGGGACAGGAGCAAAGCCAGCTCCCACCACCTCCCAGCCTTCTCATTTCTGCTTTCTTACTGAACCCGTCTTTATATATAATGTTAATAAAAAAAAAAAAAAAGAAGAAGAAGAAGAAGAAAAGAATCACTGCAGTCTTTGAACTGGGGTTGGTGACAAGCAGCTTTCCGGGGAGGCCTGGGATTTGGGAAAGGTGTTTGGTGAGGAGGAACCTCAGAGCCTCCCAGAGGCTCCTGGGAAAGACAGGGCCTGGGGCATCCCACTGCAGGGGTGCTGAGCTGGGCTTGGCCCTAGGGGGCAGGTGTTCCTGACCCTGTGGCTGCCCCCACTGTGGGCTGGTCTGGGTAGGAGGCTCCCAGCCAGGGCCTCCCTGACTCCACTCTGCTTGGTGGCTTGGCGTTCCCTGTCAGCCAGCTGCCCTCCCACTGCCGCCACCACCACCGCCTGCTGCCAGGTCACCTCAGGGCTGCTCTTTGATCTTGAGCTCACACGCAGACATGCTTGCACACGCGTGTAAACCCCCTGCCTCCACGCCCAGGCACTCCCGGCCCCTCACCCTCCTGTCTGTCCCTCCCAGCTTGGGTGAGGGTGGGGCCACAGACAGGGAACATGTTCACTGCTTCCACAGCTGTTAGGACCACAGCCACTGGGGTCCAGGCTGGGCCAGAGAAGCCAACAGATGGTAGTGAAGGGTCTATGTTTACTTTCTTGGGAAGGGTCAGGCCCTGACTCAGAACTTTCTAGATGCTGCCACTGACTGCCTGGACTGGAGCTGCTACCACCCTCCTTTCCAGCTCCTGACTCTATGACATCATCTGAGAGGAGAGCTAGAGGTGGGAGAATCAATTGGGGCGGGGGTGGGGGGGTGAGTTCCATTTCTTGACACAGAGGAAAACTACTCTCTCTATACATAGGGTTACTGGACACAATGACATCTCTGTATTGTCACATATATACATGTGGTCCAACAAGAGCCAAATGGACTGTCATCTGTAGGCACCCTCTAGACACAAAGACACACCTGAGACACTTGAGCATCATATGAATGTGACAGCCAAAGCTACAACACTCCAACAGACCTAGGCCCTCAAAGCACAAGTGCAAAAACACATGCAGGTCACTCCAGCCTCAGACACCTGTGCACACACTCAGGCAGAGACAGAGGCAGCTGTCTGTAATAGAATCTTGCTCAGCAATCAGCACCACCCCCCAGCAGTCACAGTGACCCAGCTCAGCCTGGAACCTCCCTTAGTGTCCCTTAGGGACCTCATCTGTCAAATGGGCCTATCACCAGCTGACTGGCTTCTGGAGAATCTTATGAGGCACAGAAGCAGAAGAGGGATGAGAAGGACGAAGGAGCAGATGGATCTCAGGTTAACAGAAGGGACTTGATTGACAGTCTCAGCCTTAGAGAGGCAGGGGCCCTCAGCCTCCTCTTCACCCCTCTCCCTCTCAGAAGCAAAGAAGCAGCAGGCTCCTGGTCCTTTCCTCCACCCACCCACCATGCCTGGGAGGCACGAGGGAGGAGGCCTTCAGCCCACGAACACCAGCGGGTGCGGGCTGGCAAGGGTTAAGGTGGCAGCTGCCAGGCAGGGCTGAGCTGAGCAGTTTGGTTTGAGGGCTGCGTGCAGGCAGGAGCAGCGAGGCGGCAGCCGGGCAGACTCACTGGAGACACTGCATTTTATTAGGGCTGGGCTGCCAGCAAAGGGAGGGAGAGGGAAAAAAGGGCAGAGGGAGGAAGGAAGAAGGGAGGCTGGGCAGGCAGGCGGCGGCCCCGGGATGAAAGGATGTTGTAAGCTCACTAATTCCTCCCGGCTCATCCTGGCTCGGTCAGGCTGGATTAACTGCCCAGGTGACCTCCTGCAGGGGTCGGCCCCACCCCTGACCTCCCCTTCCTCCTCTCCTCACCTCCAGGCCAGTCAGGTTGCCCTCTTCATTGACCTAGTGAGGGGCCCCATGGGGATAGAGACTTTGGTGGAGGACCTAACAGCCAGTGTGCCAGTGCCAACGTGGAGCTTCTAAGCCAATTTTTTGCTAGGGGCAAACAACTATCAAGTAAGAAGAGGGGAGCAGATTAGGGAACCCCACATTCCCCATGGGTCACAGTCCTCCAAGTCTTAGTAGAAACTGGCATTTGCTAAATTATGCCACACTAAGTGCTTTGCATGTGATTGTCACCATAGCTTGGCAAGTGAGGGGTATAGTGTCCATTTTTCAGATGAGAAAACTGAGGCTACAGTAGCAGGCCATGAGCTGTGAGAGAGAAAAAGAAAAGAAAGAAAGAAGGAAGGAAGATGAAAGGAAAGGAAGGAAGGGAGGGAGGGAAGGAGAAAAGCGGAAGGAAGGAGGGAGGGAGAGAGAAAGAGGAAGGAAGGAAGGAAGGAAAAAAAGGGTCACATAACAAATACATGGCAATGCTGGGATTTGAACCCCGGTCTGCAGAGAGAATGGGTACTCTTAGTGGGCTTTTCTTCTATCTGTTCACTTAGGTGCTTGGGGCAGAGTGTGAGAGAGCTGGAGCCACTTAAATCCCCCACATCCTACCAGCCCCCTTCCCAAGTTCTTCCTGGGAAGGGGAGCACCTGGGCTTCTTCCTCTAGGCAAGTCCTAAGAAAAGCTTAATGCTCTGGTCAGGAATGTGCATGCTGGAGTCAGCTGACCTGGATTTGAATCCTGCCTCCGCCATTTTACTGGCTGTGTGACCTTGAGCAAGTCCCTTAACCTTTCTAGACTTCAGTTTCCTCATCTGTAATGCACGGGTAATGCTGCCTACCTAGCGTGGTTGGTGAGAGGATTAAATGGGATAATCCACATAAAATGCTAACAAGGTACCCAGCACTTGGTGAGAATGCTTAGTTAATGGAAGTGGCTACTGATTATCCAGCCCTCACACCCCTGATTCAGACCCAGACCCTGGCTGCACTTGCCACGTGAGCTGATCCAACATCTATAGGTGCACTCAAAAAGAAATCTATATTTGCAGAACACCTGCTGTATGCCAGGCACAGATGACCAAAGCCTAGGGAAGGAGGCCCAGAGCCTGTGCTAGGAGCACAGGCTAGAAGCAAGCCTGACCTGGAGAGGCTCACAGCTGAGCAAACCTGACACAGTCCAGGGAAGACCTGGCAGAGTCCAGAGGAAAGGGCAGGGGCATCTGGCAGCCAGTGGGGAGAAAAAGATTCATGGCGGAGAGGGCACTGGAATGATGTCTTGAAAGAAGATGAAGCAGAAAAAGCAAAGATGGAGAACAAATTCCCTGGAGCCCCACCTGATATGATTCCCCCTCCAGGACTCCATGGGGTGGAGAGAAGGACAACCTGAAAGCGGCAGCCTGGGGTCATGCTAGTCTGGGCCTTGGAGAGGAGAGGCAGGAGGTCCCTGAGTCCTTCTGGATGTTGCGTTCACAGAGGTCATGGTCTGGTAGTCCCAGTCCCTCAAGTGTGCCAACAGCTGCCCTGACACCTTGAGCTTCAGAAAGGACAAAGAATGGTGTTCCCTGTCTCTCTTTGGGGAAGAGACAGTTCCTATCCTTCCTGCCTGGGGAAGCAGATAAGAAGGATGGTCTCTAACCCTGTCCCTGAGGTTTTTCCATGGAGGGAGATCCAGGCTAGGGG